CCCGGCACCTGGTTTCGACCCGGCGGCAGTGCCGCGCTCTCGGTTAACTGTTACGGAGCAGTCACGTGTACACCGTCCTAACGTTACAGTCGGCCCTTGGAAGGCCACCGCGAGGCTGCTGCGGCCCCCGGTGACAATGACTTTGGCGCCCCTGTGCTCTAAGAAGTGTAAGAAATGCTAAAACAGAGTTCCTAGATGGAACTCCAGGTCCGAAAGAAAAGATGAAGATTGCCAGAAAAAGCAAATATCACCTCATACATTGATTGTGTGCATTAAAAACAATACCAACAGTTCTCCTTGTAACAAGATCTTTGAATCCACACCATACTTCCTCCAAATTTTAGAGTGACGGCAAACAGCTCACGTTAAATGAGCATTTTTCATATTAATCGCCTCCTTCCCTGAGAGCGGGCCCGTGCTTTTCACACGCGCGTGCGAACTGCCAGACAGAGCCCCGCACCACAGGGGGCAGAACGTGGTGTGGTTGGACGCCCCTCCCCCGTCACCCACCGAGTGCGGCTGCCGCGCCCGGGCAGCGGGGACCCCGCCTGCGGACCCCGCCCACCAACTCCGCTTCTTTTGTGAGATTCACCTGGGACACCTGTGGCTGCTCTAAACGGAGCAAGACTGCGTGTTTATGTCATACGGGTGGTGGGCAGTGAAGTCAAACTACACTCTTTTTTAAAGTTAAAAAGAAAATAAACAAGGAAAGGAAACGCCAGGGCCCAAAGGCCTCACTGGTGCATTTTCTAGAACACTCCACGAGAGCACCACAACCCCGGTGACAAGCCGCGACCCAGACGCCACCGAGAAAAGCTCGTGCCTGCATCCCTCAGGAGTGTGTCCGCGAACGTCCTTATAAAACACTGGGGAGATGAGTCCAACGACACACAGAAAGTGTGTCACCCGGGGACCGAGCGGTGCTCCTCTGAGGAGCGCAGGGTGGGCTGAGCATTTGACAATGATGGCGTGTGCCCTGCGTGACCGGGACGTGGGGAGGTGACTGCGGACGTGTGGGTCTCGGCGGCCGGGGAGTGAGCATCTGACAAGGGTCCGTGTGCCTGCAGGACAGTGACCATCAGGGACACTGGGGAACTAGGGGAGGCCCTCAGCCTGCAGAAGCCAACAGCCGGCATCACCGCGAGCCCTCGCCCTTCAGCCCGCGAAGAGGGCACGGATGCCTGCTCTCGCCGTCCCCGCCGGCGTTTTCCTGGAGTCCCCAGCCTCTGCCCCGACCCGGGAGCGTGGCGTAAACTGCACACAGCTGACCCAGAAGCACAACCCTTGCACAAACAATGTGAGTGTGCGGGGAACCCCAAAAGCGCCGGGACTACTAAGTGACGTTCCCCAGGTCACAGCCCCCAAGGGTAACGTAGGAAAATTAAATACTTTTCTGCATACTAGCAACAACTGAAAAGTGAAATTACAGTAGTAACTATTTCTCTAACAACATTAAAGAGTATCGGATGGCTAGGGACAAACCTAACAGAAACACACGTGCTGCCTCCGCACGGGGGACTGTGAGACCGGCTGAGGGAAACCAGACACGACCGAGACGCGTCGGAAGGTGCCCCGTGTCCACGGAGGAGACGAAGTTCGGTCCTCGGGCACGTCCCAGACACGGCCGCCGGGTTCAGGGCAGACCCCTGGAAAACGGCGGTAGGTGTGTCTGAAAAATTCGACACGCTGGTCCTAAGGCTTTATCTGGAGATGCAAAAAAGAAAATCTAGCACAGCTATAAAAATTTCCGTGAAAAAAAACGGAGATCTCACCCCTAAACTCGAGAACTGTCGGAAGGCTGCGGGAGGCCGGGCAGTATGGCCTGTGGGGCGGAGCGCAGGCTGCGGGGGCGGGACAGAGAGTCCCCAGTAGACACAGGAATGGAGGGGGGGCGGGTGGGGGGTTGTCTGCTTATTTGTTCAGTAAACACAGCACCAACCCCGAGAAGGGGGAAAGGAATGGATGCACACGCAGGGCCAATTACTCTCCCACCAATGCGGAAAGAGCACCTCTGTTACAACTGCAGCCCGACAAGCCTCGGCGGTCCGAATGGGGACATGAACGGCGACCCCCACCCCAGCCCCTATTCAGAAGACCTCGTGTGGCAGGGCACTGGTCAGAGCTGGAACTGACAGGGGACGCCGGGTGCTGGGACGTGGGCCTCATCACCACGTGGGCCCCGCACAGGGCCTGGCTGGGGGCAGTGTGGGGACCTCGATGACGCCTGGCACGGGACGACCGTCTTCCGTTTGATGTCCAGGGGTTTCCACGCCTGCACCGATGAAGGGAGGCGGGGCTCCACTGCTGGGGGCAGGGGCCTGCGCCCCAAGAACCTGCTCGAGCAGGCCAGCTCCAGGAAGGTCAGCCCGGGCAGCAAGGATCGGCCGGCACCAGGGTTCCGGCCCCGCTCTGGCCGGAGGAGGCCACTCTGCGGTCTGCAGGGCCCGGCCTGGGGGCCCGCCCCGGTCCTTCCTTGGGGCCTCCACCCGGCCGCCACCCCGGGGCTTTTCCCCGACGGACACGTCACCTCGTTTTATTTATGCTGGGGGGGGGTTTGCTTTCTTTTGCAAAGATTTTATTTATTTTAGAGAAAGGGGAAGGGGGGAGAAAGGGGGAAACATCGATGAGAAAGAAGCCTCGACTGGCGGGAATCGCACTGGCCACTCTGGCTCCGGGGGACAACGTCCAGCCCGTGAGCCGCACCAGTCAGGGCTGTGCCGTCTGTTTTCTGACGGGTCTGCCGCCCGCATTGCCACCCGTCTTTGGGGTCACCGCGTGTCCTCCTCCCTGCTTGTAGAGCCAAGTTTCACTTCAAGAAGAGTGTCTGCCGACACCGGTGCTGCAGGGCAGTGGCCCAGCCACGGCAGGGCACAGACCAAGGAAGGATGAAAGGGGGTTCACCCAGGCCCCCCCGCAAGCGAGGCCCACGAGGCCCAGGTCCAGGTCTCCTGTACCGAACCGCACGCCCCTCGCCCCGCACGGCCGCCGCGGTCCCGCGGCTCAACCAGAGACTCTGCTCAGTGTGTTAAGGTGTCAGTTGCGTGACCTCTGGGTCCCTTCTAGAAACTCAGCACGTCGAGACCCTGTCTGCCTTCGCGGAAAAACGGTCTCCCCGGCCAGAGTCGGAAGTCCCCGGGGGAAGGGCCCTGTGACTCAGTCTCCCCGCAGCCCGCAGCACCCCACGTTACGGGCCAGAGCCGTGGGCCCAGGTCCCTCCTGTTCCGAAACCTCCTGGAGGCCTGGGCGGGGCTGGGGCTGGGGGAAGGCTAGGAATACAAACCCCTGGTCCGGGTTTTCCAGAGCAGCCGCGCGCGGGAGGGCACCAGGTTCCCAGGGAGGGGGGCCCAGTGCTGGGCACCGCACGGTGCACCGTGGCCACCCAGGCTGCTTCTGAACAGCCCCTCCCCCTCAGCAGACCCCCACCACCCGCCCGCGCTGGGAAGGAGCGGCGGTCTGGACTGGGGCCAGTTTTACTTCCCAGTCCTACCTGGGCAGTGGCTTATTCAAAAATATTCCTGATACCTTTCTGTCCATCAGTCTCCTGATTCGGGATATTTCTGTACGTACGCCTAGCCGTCACCAAGCCGAGAAGCACATCATTTACGAGCAGCGTGGCCCCCGTGGAGGAGGGCTGGCCCGGAGGCGCTAGGAGGTCAGGTGCGGACCCTTCAGTCCTGGCCCTACACTCAGGAAGGCCAACGCGTCCCTGAGGGTCCCGGAACTAGCAGGTGGGGCGGGGCCCTAGGAAGCCGCAGCACCCGGGCTGAGCAGGCAGCCCTGCTGGATTCAAGATGTGACTCCGCCTGCTCCTTTGGGACGTCCCGAAGCCCCCTGTCACCGTGGACACCCCTGATGCCACTCTACCACCGCTGCCTTCGTCACCGAGCTCTCTGGATGGGGTCCCCGGGGACCTTCAGGAAGCAGCGGTTCAGAATACGGAGCTGGAAGAAGTAAATGGAAACTAAGGGTTCTGCCACTGGATGGAGCGAGGGCCCCCATCCGGCACCGGCGGGCTCAGCACCCCGCGGGGTGGTGGCAACTGCCTCTCCCTCTGCACACTGACCCCTGTGTCACCTCACCGGTCCCCTCCCCGTTCTGTCACTGCCCACCTTCTGCCGCCATCCGGTGCCGCCTGCGTCAGTCTCTTGAAACTCACCAAGCATGGTTTGCATTTTTGCGGCAGTTCGCATGGGGGAAATACATGCATATTCCACGTTCAGTTCTGCCGCGGGTCAGATGAAACGTTCAAGTTCACCGCGGAGGGAGACGTGTCTTTGGGACGAGGTCTTTGCCACCAGCTGTAACAAACAGCAACCTCTCCCGCAAAAGGGAGGGGTCGGAATAATCACGAGACCGACTACATGCTGCATATATCCTTTATTTTGCAGAAAACGCTTTCCGCTGATTGTCTGGCTACTTCGTCGAAACACAACCGTACGCGGGGGTGGGTTCAACAACACAAGAGGCCGCTGTCTCTGCTCAGAGAGCCCGTGCTCGTGGGCAGGCCCGCAAGTCTGCCTGCGGCTGCGGCGTCACCGGCGCTCCGAGCTCCGCTCCAGCGGGACGCCCGCCGCCGCAGGAGCCCGAAGACCACCTACTCGAAAGCAAAGAGGAAGGGACTGGAAGTGTGCTTTCTGTCTCACCGACGCGGGACCCGTGGAGTTGGCAATTCCGATGTGCCCGAGTCGCCTGTGGGCTGCACAGGAACACGGGAATTCCCCGGCGCCCCGCAGTCCGCCTTACCGTGCAACGCCGGGGACCCCGCCAACTGCAGGAACGCGCAGCGGTGACCCCGCGCGGCCCACGTGGGGCGCAGGGGGCGGGGCCGCCTGAGCAATAGCACGACGCGCATGCGTCCTCTCGGTTGCAGGGGTGGGGGGAGAGAGGGCCGTTTCCTTCCCCCGACCCTCGACACTGCCGCCCTGCACCTGGTGGTGGGTCAGTGGAATCAACGCTGGTTGCCACACCGAAGTCACTGCGTCTCTTAAGGCGCGGCGTGCTCACAGGGAAGGCGGCGACACAGGTGTCCAGGAGGCAATGAGGCAGGCCTGCGCCGAGGCGTCGTACTGGCTGTCGGGGACGTCGGTGGCCGCGGGGGCCCCCTCGTACAGCGGGGATCCCGAGGCGGCGGAGGCCAAGCCCGGGTGGGCGAGGGGCGCAGGGTGCGCGGAGGGCCCTCGGAAGAACTGGGGCGCCAGCCCGGCGGACATTCCTGCCGACTGTGCGCCCGGCGCGGCAGTGCCATTGCTCACGGACCACAGGCTGGGGTACTGGCTGCAACGGGACAATACAGGGGAGTCAGAGGCGGGGCGCAGGCTCCAGAAGGGCGGCAGGACGGGGCCCCAACTCCAAAAGCCCTACTCCAGGGATCTGGGGGGGCGTCTTTCAACCCGCTGTTTCCCGTCCACCAGCCCACCCAAGGCGTGTAAGTCACTGTCCTATCTATCAACAGGGAGCAGGCTCCTCGGGAAGCTGACCAGCAAGGTCACGTGCATGTAGGCAGGGGGCTCTGGGCAGAGGCTGCTAGGTGTTGCTGCTGAACACTCCAGGGCAGGCCTGGCCGTGTGCCTCAGTTGGTTAGAGCACCCTCCCTTAATCAGAAAGTTTGGGGGGGGGGTGTCATTCCCAGTCAGCAGAGGGCCAGGACGCACGCGGGAGGCAACCCATCAATGCTTCTCTCGCATGGATGTTTCTCCCCCTTCCTCTCTCTCTAAAAGCAATGGAAAAAAAAAAAAGTGTCCTCAAGTGAGGATTAAAAAAAATTTTTTTTTAAATGGAACTCCGGGACAGGAGGTTGGCGTTCTTGTTCGGGTCCAGAATTCCCAGGCAGGCTGACTCCAGTGTCTGGGGGGATGTGCCGTCACGTGGGTGGGCAAGGGCAGACCACACCCCCAAAAACAGGGCCCTGGGAGAGGCGCCCCCAGAGCAGCCCCCTGCCCCCAGCACCGTGCCCTGCACTCTGAGCTGTGACATCAATGGCATCGTGCACGGCAGAAAGCAAGGGACCTGCCCGAGGATCCCTACGCTGCCCTCGGCCAGCTGTTGTCTGAGACTTGACCTGTGGCTGATTTTGATGCTCTGTTTTCTTATCCATGTGGGGGGTTGCAGGTAGGTGTTAAATCCTCTCGTCTAAAGACCTAGGTTTGTTTCGAAAAAGTATCTTTCTCTTAGGGAAGAGTCTGTCTACAAATGAGAGAGACCTCACGCTGCATCGTGTATGTTCTTCGCCAAGCCACGTCCTGCCTTTCAGACGCACTTGAACTTGCTCACTAGCCCGAGTTAAGCGAGGAGGCCGGGCACGACGTCCATGCTACAGGTGGACACACGAGGCCTGAGACGCCCAACGAGAGCAGAGCGGACTGAACGCTCAGGTCCCTGGGGCTGGCCACTGGCCACCGGCAGGTCACGCAGTCCTCGCGCAGGCGTCCACGTGGCCTCCAAGCTCTTGAGAGCCTGCGGGTTTGCAGACAGTGCGCTCGCATGTATCAGAAAGGAGCCGTCTCCGGGGCGAAGAGAGGGGACACTGCGGGTGCATTCGGGGTTCCCTTGCAATAAGCCACGTTGCTTTTAAGGCTGAGATAAGCTGTCCCCAGTCTCGCTGGGCCGGGAGCCCAGGGGTTGAACCACTTCATGTCTCTGAAGCAGCTTCCTTGTCAGAAAATGGACTTGACCTCTGGCTTTGTTAGTCGTTGCTGTAAACATTCTATGAAGACATGCAGTACGTTCACCCATCTGCTTGGTTTTTCCAGCCGAGCTCCTCCTACATAACTTTCAAGTTAGTAACAAAACAGCCGTCACTTTCACCAGTTACCCAGCGCATCTGCGAACAGCTTTGATTCTACGTCCACAGAAAAGCCGACCGATTTCCTTCATCTAATAATAGCTTCTGCGGCAGAAAGGATGCTGGGAACATGTCTTCAAAATCCACCTACTGTGAAGTACCGATGGGCAGTTAATGAAATCGCCACGGGGACGCGCAGCAGGCATCCCGGGGGGTGTGGTCACGGGGCTGTGATGACGCATTACGGGAGCCCGGCTGTAGGAGTGATGTACGGTGTCGGCTGGGCACTACTCTCGCCGAGGGAGTCACGTCACCAGTTACACGATCACCACCACCACCCACACCTGAAACTCACATAATATTGAATATCGATGGAATTGAAAAATGAAAAAAATATATTTAAAAAAAATTTACCTACTGATCCCAATTACCCTGAAAAGACGGGTTGAGACTTCGGTTATTTAATATCTTTTTCTTTTTTTTTTTAATTTGATAAGTTCTCTTCTTTCTTTTTTTTTTAATTTTTTCTTATAAGATTTTATTTATTTATTTTTAGAGACGGCAGGGAGGGAGAAAGAGAGAGAGAGAGAAACACCAGTGTGCGGTTGCTGGGGGCCGTGGCCTGCACCCCAGGCATGTGCCCTGACTGGGAATCGAACCTGCGATGCTTTGGTTCGCAGCCCACGCTCAATCCACTGAGCTACGCCAGCCAGGGCTAGTATCTTTTTCTTGCAGAGATGAGGCCCCAAGTTTAAAAACCTGTCCAGCACGGGGCCCTAGATTCCTCTTGCTCAGGCCCAGCCCCCATCCACCCTGCGGAGCCCCAGGTCCTTCTGGAGCACAGGCTGCAGCAGGAGCTCACGGCGCCCCTCCCACCGCCCCCCACAGCCTGGGACCCTGCTCATGCCTGGCTTGTGGTCAAATCACAGATAAGAGCCCCACCACCCATGGGCAAGGGCAGAATAAGAGCCCGTGAGCGGACGTGGCTGGCCGCAGGTCCCGTTACCTGGTGCCCGCGGCGGGGCCAGCGCCGGCGGTCACGGGAAGCATGCCGGCGTGGGTGGGCATCCCCAGGCTGGGCCAGCTGTCGTGGGGTTGCAGCATGGGCAGGCACGCGGGGGAGGTGTCGGAACAGGCTACGAGAAGCAAGAACGTGGCACCGTCGGTGGGGTCTCCCAAGAGTGACAAAATGCAGTGAGTGTCCCCAATAACTGCAGCACCCCCTCCCCACAAGGACAATGAGAGGCGTGCCCTTCAACAGAGAAAGGCGCCCCCCAGCCCGCCTCACTGGTGGCCCAAGCCTACATTTGCTGCCGAGCGGACACACGGGTGTGGGCGAAAGGAAGCTCACAGTCTCCTGTGACGTTCTTTTGCGTTAACGAAGCCGTCGTGGTATCGCCACCTGCGCGTCGTTCTCCGTCCCAACGGCTGTCAACCCACCTTTGCCCACCCCTGGGTCTCAAACTGCGTCCCCGTCGGTGGAGGGTTTTTTTTTGTCATTAGATCAACAGCTGCCCGGTGGAAGCACAACCCTACAATCCCTTGACTGAGGGTTCACTATGTTTTAAAATAAAAGTTAATCCAACTGTCACTCGCCTCCTCCCCAGAAACGATTTCCTAAGAGCCGAGAGGGCTTTAGAACCCAAGGCTCCAGCCAAGACTGAAGATACATCTTCTGGCCTCGGAGTCCAGCCCCTGGTTGAACAAGTCCCAACGACTTTTTCCTACCAAATAAGGTTCTTTCATTTCGAATCAGCTTTAATTGCTTAATTGTTTTATGATGTTCCTTAGCTTTCTTCTTCCTCCTTTTGGAGCCAGACAAAATTAAGTGTAGACACACATGGCGTTAGAATTAAGGAAGATCTCAATGGGCGAGCCTGGTGTTCGTTGCACTTTGACCTGCATCGGGGTCCCCCGAGGGCTCGTGCAGACGCCCCAGTGGGCCCCCCGGAGCTTCTGATGCAGCAGTCCAGGGTGGCCCAGGCCCGTCACTTGGAGAAGCATGCTGGGCTCAGAGCAAGCCGGCCGCTGCTCTGCCTGGAGCCCCGCCCCCCCCCCCCGGTGGAGGGGGTGTGAAACACCCAAACCCGGGCCCCAGAGACGGACCCGCAGTTCCGAGGGGGAACAGATTGAGCGAGCGTTCACTGGGGCCCCCAGAGCCCCTGGGGGGGACCACCCTGTGCTCGAGCCAGCCACGGCGCCACAGTGCGGACGGGAAATGAAGGGCCGGGAGCCACCCGACGACAGGGCTCAGGTGTGCGCCTGGACGGGTCCCCCTCTCCCGCCCCCGGGGCCCCACTGAGACCTCCCCAGGAGCAGTCCCCCCGGCCGGCCCCCCAACCCCCCCGGCTTCCGCGTGCCACTCACTTGGAGAACTGTTCCGATGCGCGTAAGGGCTGGGGTAGGGGGACGGGCGGTGGTTCCTCAGGGCGGGGTACCGCTCGCAGCCGTGCGTGGAGGGGAGCGGCAGGGCGCCTCCGAACTGAGGGTGGGGGGCGGCTGGGGGGCACAGGGCGCCGGCCCCGGGCAGGAGCCACCCCCCTGCTGTGAGGAGAGAATGCTGAGCAGCGGCGTGGCGGCGCCTCCCTTGCGGGCGGGCCAGGGGAGCGGGGACCAGGGGGTTGTGGGTCTTTCCCTCGGACTCCCCGATGAGGTGGGACTCGCGGCGTCCACACCGAGTGTCCAGCCCCAGACCTAGGGCACCGTGGCATCAGCCCTGCACTAGCGACCGCAGGCTGACCGAGGTTCCCAAACCCAACGGGGCCCCCGAGAAAACCTAGGGGACCCCAGCCTCAGCCAGCGGCCCAGCGCCCTCCGCTGGTCCTGTCGGACCTGCCGCTGAGACCCCCAAGACCTCAGCCTCTTACGGGACGTTTCTTACTGGAGTCTCTGGGTTCCCCGCCACACCCAGCCCTGCTGAGCATGAGTAAAACGTAAAAACAGGCAAATCCGGAGCCTGACCTGCCCCACACGCAGCGCCAGTCGTGCGGGGGGTGGCCCTGGGTCTGCCACCACCCGCAGTCGCACCCGGGAGCCGCCGTGCGGCCTTGGGCGCGAGGTTTTCCGCTCGTTTTTCTCCTGTTCGAGGCTCAAGTTCTCCCCGTGTCTCCCCGCCAGACACATCGGTCAGAAAAGCATTCCCACCCCTCCCCCAAAACTCCACTTTCCTCTCCACGCTGCTGAAACATTCTGGATTTGTTTTTGTTTAAGTTCAGAGAAGCCACCTTTAGGGGAACAGCCACTCTGACGCCAAGCCCCAAACCCCGGAGGGTCCTGCAGACGACACAGGAGCGACAGGGCCCGGACACGCCCCCGCACACAGGCCCGCCGCCTGCCGCACTGTCCCGCAGTCCGCCCGCCCCCTCCCCCACGGAGGCCCCGGCCAGTGCGGCAGAGCCAGCGGCGGCGGTTAGGCGGCCTCGGAGATGGTTTCCTGGAGGAGGAAGAGCAGCCCGGAACACGGCTGGCGAGTGCGCCGTGCTGGTGGGCCCACCTCCTGGAGGGACGGGCGCACACCTGTGCTTCCCTCCCGGCAGGCGTCCGGGGCTCAGACGCCCAGTCCCCGCCCCGGGAGGAGAGGAGAGCTGGACAAAGCCCCCTCGGCGCCAGCACCTGGGCCCGCAGCACCCCTGTGCCCTGGCTCACGGACCTCCCGCGGGAGGCTGCACCTGAAACCGCCTCTCCCACCCGACGAGCCGGCGGGCACGCGGACCAGCACGCGTGAGGTGCTCGCCCCAGACCCGAAGCCACTCGGGGGAAGACCGCACCGGTTCCCCAGCATCGCTCCGAAGACCGCCCTCCGCCCTCAGGCCGTGGCAGACCCACAGACCACCCCCAGGGGCACCTGAGGGGCCAGGCTCTCCCCTGCCCCGCACGGCAGAGTCCAGAGACCCGCCGAGGTCTCGGGGATCTGCCCCAGAGCCCGGGCCGGAGCCACCTCGGAGCGGAACAGACGGGCCAGGTAAACTCCGCCCGGACCTCTCCGTGGGGGGGGGACCGCTGTGGGGGGAGCTCCCCACCAGCCCTCGCAGAGCAGAGGTGGGAGGCCTTCGGCTCCACAGGGCCCTTGCGCTCAGCCAAGGGCCGAGTCTGCCCCAACCACACCCAGGTGCCGGGGCCCACGCCATCCCCACCCCCAGGTCCCCGCACTCCGGCCCGAGACAAGGTAGGTCGGGGTTGGGGGGTGCCACACACAAACCGTACATTGGGGGTACCCGGACTGCTGGCCATCTCCAGGGTCCTCCACCGCGTCCTTGTGATCGCTTCTGTCAGAAAAGGGCGTGGGTCGTCACAAAGGAGACCGCCCCCGCGGGGGGGCTCCTGGCAGCTCTGTCCCCTCGTCCTGAACCGCCTTCGCCCAGAGGGGTCGTCGGAACCCACTCACCTTTCCTTCGCGTCGAGGAACGCCTTTGCGAACGGGTTGTACTTGATTTTAAGGGCTGTGATCTGCAGAACAAGAAGTCCCGTTTACCGACCGGCCTGTGGAAGGCAGGCGGGGGGGGGGGGGGGGGCGGGGCGTTAATCTGGCCCCAGGAAACGGGGAGGCACCTGCAGGCAGACTGCGTGTCGGAGTGAGTATTCAAATGTAATCGGACTCCTTCCCAGATGTATCTTTCTATCTGGGTCTGAACTGGCTGAGGAACCGTGCTATTCAGTAAAGAATAGCACGTTTGTGAAAAGTCATTAAATGCCGGTCTTCTAAGCGGAATTCACGAGACCCACCGCGGACGATACTCTGTGTGCGTGCATGGGACAGACAGAGCTCGCGCCGCAGCCTGGGCGCGCTCGCCAAACACGCCCTGCCAGTTCACGCGGGGGCCACCCGGCGCCACCAGAGTTCTGTTTCCGGTCGATGACTCGTGCTGCCCGGGTGGGCGCCCCCCCGCACCCCCATTTCAGGAGGAGTTCCAAAAGAAGATGCCCCCCTCTCTCGCTCAAGGTTTGTTCAAGAAATTCTGGGTTCTCTACCCGAATGTTCTCCATGTCTCATCCTGTTGAGCATTCAGTAGATGTTTCTAGTTGTAGACGGTTTTACAGGGAGTGGAGGGGGAATGCTTGTGGGAGGACTTACGTTAAACGTCTCTCCCCTCGGCCCAGTCTCGTACCCCTGGTGAATTATTTGAAAGGTTCCCTTTCCTCGGGCAGCACCGGGCCCACACACGGGCCGCCGCCACCCGCCCTCACCTCCTCGTTCTGGTAGGCCGTCACGGCGATGAACTGCGTCTCGGGGAAGCAGTGGCTGGTGATCATGCGCTGCGGGCCCCCCACCCTCACGATGTGGATCCGGGGCTCGTACTTGTGCAAGGAGTTCAGCATGATCTGGGGGAGACAGACACAAAGGCGGGGTCGGCCGCCGAGTCCCGGCTGAGGCCGCGGAACACCCACTTGCCCTGCCCTGGAGGGGAGAAATGCACCCGAGACGCAGCCGCGCCCGCGGCGCCCGGAAACCGGCCTCCCCGCTCAAGTCGGTGGGGTTCCCCTCCGGGGCTGCCCCGCCCCCCTGGCGGCGTCGGGAGAAAGGAGCGCGAGAGGCCCCACGCCCGGGGAAGGCGGTGGACGCCCACCGGGAAACCTTCGGAGCCGGGGAATGAGGTGCCCAGGCTTCCCGGCCGGCCGCGGGCAGCTCTGAACGCCGGGCCGGTTTGCGCCCGCAGCCGTCCCCAGGCAAAGACACTTACGCAGGACAAACACGCACGCGCTTGTTCAGAACCCACGCAGCCAGTACGGCGGCGCCCGCTCGCTCTACAGTGACCGGCTCACCACCCAGGACGGTGTTTTCTCCGCCCCTGCGACCGTTCAGCCCCAGCTCCCCAGGCCTGGCTGCGACCCTCCCCAGCCCGCTGCAGGCAACGCGGGAGGCCGGGCGGAGAATCTCGGTGCGCGGGCCGCGTCCCTCCCTTCCCCGACCGGGCCGCGCTGCGCTCGGAGAAGGTCGGCCGCACCCACCTGACCCCCGCCGTTGAGCTTGTTGGTGAGCTTGACTTTGCTGAAGGAGACAGGCGCCTTCATCCAGTGCGCGCCGAAGTTGGGCGAGTCCGGGTGGATGTAGACGCAGCTGGGCGCCTGTGGCTCCGGCTTGCCCCCCGGCACCCACTCCCCGTTGACGTACTTCCAGCGGTGGCCGTCGGCCGCCACGAAGTCCAGCAGCAGGGAGTACATGGCGCTGGGGTCCAGCCCGGACACACTCACCTTGAGCACCGGGAACATCCTCCTGGGAAGGAGAGAGCGCGGCCGGAGGAACCCGGACCCGGCGCGCCGGGCCGAAACCAGAAGGCTTGGGACAGAGTGGCCCGTCGTTCCCGGGCAAAGAGGAGCCCTTCCAGCCCCGGGGCGCCCTGCACACTCTCCCCGACCTGGAGGAGCCAGGGGCGCGGAGGACGCGGGCCGGAGTGCGCCAGGCGCCGCTCCCGGGGTGGGGCCTCCTCGGAGGAGCCCTCCTCCCCAGCCTCCCGGGACTAAAGCGCCAGGAGGAGGCCGGTGAGAGGCCCCCCGGGGCCTGTTTCCAGCACGAGCAGAAACGAGCAAAGAGACCTCCACTGGGGGCGGGGGGACGAGAAACGTCGGGCAGTGAGGAGTGCCCCGGGCTCCCTGGCTGCCCGCGCGGCCAGGAGCGCATCGCACCCGGAGGCCCGGGCGGCGCACCCACCTGCCGTTCTTGGTGACGATCATCTCGTTGGTGAGCTCCTTGAAGCGCAGCCACAGCTCGCTCTCCTCCAGGCCCACGCGCAGCTCGCGCTCCGTGGGGTCGCCCTTCTCGCTGCCCGCCTGCAGCTCGCTCTCCACGGCGCTCAGCAGGTGGTCCACGCGGTACTGCAGGCTCTTCGCAGCGCCCTCGGCGCCCGGGGAGCTCATCCTCCCGCCCGCCCGCCCCGCCACCCCCAAGGCCGACTCTCTATCCGAGAGCCACCTTCACCCCAGGCGGCGGCCGCTCCCCGGAGAAGAGAGGCGGCTCCGGCCCAGCCCCGCAGCGGCACCCGGGTCCCAGCACAGACCCGGGGGGAGGGAGACAACGGAGATCTGGGGGGGAGGGGGAGGGGGAGGGGGTGGGGGGGAGGCTATTCCCCTTGAACTCCCTCAAGGCGAGACTAGAGTCGGTCTCTGGGGACAGAAAATCGGTCCCCTCTCCATAAATACCGCCGCGGCGGCCGCGGAGGGGGGGCGCGGCGGATTGGGCCGCGCTCCCTTTGAAGTGCGGGGACCGCTGCCCATTGGCCGCGCGCGGCCATATCAGACCCGGCCGGGCCGGCCGGGGAGGCCCCGGGCCAACAATGGGCTCCCGCGCGCCTGTTTCATGTTAAGTCGGAGGTCCGACCTACGCGCCCCGGCCCAGCCCCTACACCTCCGCCCTCCCCCAAATGTTTGCACCTCCATCAAAGCGGCGGGGCGGGCCCTGCGGGCCCCGCGGAGGTCCAGGAGGTGGGAGGAGCCGGGGGCCGGAGCTGCCCCCGCCCGCACGTCCGCGAGGGGTTGTCGGGCCGCCCATGACGCTCCCCAGCTCCGGCGCGCCGGGCCCTCCCGGCTGTGCAAGCGCACCTGGATCCCGCAGGTGTGCCAGCCTGGAGTCGCTCCTCGTCGCTCACCCGCGCCCGGGCCCGAGAGCCTCCATCCCCCGCCCGCGAGCAGCGCGTACAGCCCAGCGTAAGGGCGCCCCGCCTGCGGCGCCCGGGTCCTGCTGGTCTCCATCCTCCGAAGGCCCGGTCCTCCGCCGCACCGTGTCCGGTCCCGACACGTCCCTCGCCCCGCGGCGCTTCAGGCGAACACCTGCGACCGTGGGTCCGCGCGCCGGTGCGCCCGCTCCCCGCGGCTCTCACCTGTCTGCAAGGGGAGGCCCCGCTCCCCGAGACCGAAATAGACGGAAGTCAACCAAACGACGCTCTTTGGGAAGTTTTTTTTCGCTCCTTATAAAAACAGAACTTTGATGAGAGGTCTGCGCGCGCACCGAGAGTGGACCGGAGTTTCCTTGTCTTTTGTTGTCTGGTCTTTGTTTTCGCGCAAGGTGGGAGGGGGCGGGCCCCCGGGTGCTCCCGGGAGAGCGGAGTGCGGGGTGGGTCTGCCGGCTCGGCGCGGTCTCCGCGCGCGGCCGGGGTGGGCAGCGGCTGGTTTATTACCTTTTGGTGAGAACCTCGGCGAGGAGAGCGAAGGAAAGGTGACAATGAGCAGGAAATAGTTCAATCGGGTCTTTACACAATAGCCTTCCTCCTGGAACGGGAGCCCAGGAGGCAGGGGGGAAGGCGGCAGAAGCGAGAAGTCGGAGCGCGGGCCGGGCGCCCCTCGCCCCTCGCCGCTCCCTGGAACCGGCGTGTGGTTCCAGCCCGTTCCCCGATCTCCGCGCGCACCTCGCCCCCACGCCCTCCGTCTGGGAAGAGCCACCGCGCCGGGCGCGCACCCCCTGCAGAGCGGCCTGAGCCCCGGAAGGGGGCTCCCCAGGAAGGGCGTGGACCCTGCGCCCCGGGCTAACCCCTCCCCGCCCAGCCCTGCCCGGCGACCCAGAGCCGGGAATTGCAGGGCGGCTGCGGGAGGGGCCGGCGCAAGGCTGGAGGACCGCTCCGCCTCCGCATCCCCGGGGCCAGCCACGCGAGGCCGCGCGGCCCCGGCTGCTTTTCCGCCCGCTCCGAGTGGGGACTGGGGGGCGAGAAGGCCCGCGCGCCCCGGCACCGTCCGGACTTCTCACTTTGCACGGAAATGCCCACGGGCCCCCGGGGGAAGGGGGGTGGTTTCCCTCTGGAAAGAGGCACCAAAAGGACCTCATTTGCTCCTGGCACCGGAGACGAGACACCCTCCGGAGCCCCTTGCACCCGGCTCTTCCGACCCCGGGCTTTGGGGGTGGTCGTCTGAGTCAACCCCCAAAGTCGCTCCTGAGGGAAGGAAAGCGTCTCCAGTGTCACCTCCGCGGCCGCACGGCACCCGAACCTCCTCGCTTGGGATAAAGGGGGAGGGGGCCGGGTGGGCGGAGCCAGGGTCCCAGGCGAACTGCGGGTCTCCAAGGCGCGAGTCTGGAGCGAAGCGTCTGACGCTCCTCGACCCCTAATGCGGGGATTCTCTGGGCGCTGACCGCTTGCGGCGGCGACCTCCTCCAAGTCCTACAAGAGCCCCCCATTGCTGGAGGTTTCCCGGCCTGCGCTGACTTCAGTTCGGCCGCACCAGCGGGAGGGGCATGGGCGCACAGAGGAAGGGCCCTGCAGAAGGGAAGGTGCCGCCTCCTGCGCCCGCAGCCACCATCTGCCCTCCGGCAGGGGCGCCCCAAGGGCCGGAGAGCGAGGCCCCGGGTTCAGCGCCACAGGGGCGGCAGCCCCGGCCTGGAGTCGCGGGCCCAGCCTCGGCTGGGGAGCAGCTCCCGGCTTCCACCCCCAACCCCCACCCCAGCTACTTCTCCTCTTCTTTCTGTGCCTGGTTTTCTGGATCTCTGTTCCCTGGTTGTCAGGACAAGCCTCTCCGCTGCCTTTGCAAGGAAGGCTGCGGTGCATGACAGTTCACAAACCGAAAACCTCCTCCCGCCCAGCTAGCTGTAAAGAGCTCCCAGTTCCCAACGACGTGCTTCCTCGGCCCTGGGGGAGGGGCTGGGCTGCTCCCTGCTGCTTTTCTCCCAAGTCCTCCCTCCGCTCGGGGAGCCCAGCCTTTCAGGGGAGAGAGGAGACCGTATGGCTGTGGCCCCGGATGCAACTTGTCCCCTGCAAAACAGGGGCGGTTCCCCCCAAACAGGGAACATTTTGCAAGAAATCTCTCTCTCACACACACACCCCTCAATTCCCAAAGGGGCGTTTTTCCAGGCCCCACCCCTGGGGGGGGGGGATACTGTTTGTCCCCGAGCACCAGGTACCGGAGGTGGGGGCAGGCTCAAGGCCAGCGGAAGGAGCGGGCACGGCCCTCCAGTGTCCTCGGGTGGGAGAAACACATGCGTTTCCTGTCTGGTGAGGCATCTGTGTTCGCTGCAGAGTGTCACACACCCAGCGCGTGAGCTCTGCGTGCTTTCCTGGCCTCCTTCCGCTTGCGTTCCGCTCTCCCACGGGCCCTGTCTGCTGTGCCGTGAAGCAGGCAGGCATAGCTAACGCACAGGCAAGTCCTGATGTTGAGACACAGAGGGTCCTAGGGGGCGGGTTACCGCTGTCACCAGCTGGTTTCTTTGTTGCTCCCGTGGAAAGAAACCCAGTGACGTTTGTCATGGCTTCTCAGGTGGCACCGTATCACTCTTTAGATTCCGCAGCATCGACAGTTTTTAATAAGGCCATAGGGTGGTTTGGGCACCTCTGGCTTGTGGAAAAGAACAAAGACTTGCTTTTTGCATTGTATTTTATTTTATTTTTAGAGAGGGAAGGAGGGAGATAGAGAAAGAGAGAGAGAGACATCAATGTGCGGTTGCTGGGAGTCATGGCCTGCAACCCAGGCATGTGCCCTGACTGGGAATCAAACCTGCGACACTTTGGTTCGCAGCCCACGCTCAATCCACTGAGCTACGCCAGCCAGGGCAAAACTTGCTTTTCTAAGTCTCTTTCTCAGGATGGTGGCTGGAGTCCGTGGAGGCTGACCGGCCAGTGTCCCCACCCCCCCCACGTTGGGCCCTGGCTCGGAGCCGGGACCAGCCATCTGCCCTCTGACCCGCGGGGAGGGCGGGCCTCGCAGGCTGGATTCCACACGAGCAGCGGCCGAGGGAAGCACTTCGAGTCCAGATCCGTCGGGCTGTCCCGTCTGAGACACCGGCTTCATCCCACGTGACAGCGTGAGGTCGTGTGACGGGAGTTCACACGCTAAAACAAACACACGAGTCTGGCGACGGGCTGAAGGTCTGGGGTGGAGACGTTTCTCCTGGACACCCCGGGCCGTGGCTCCGGTCTCTCCGGAGTTCGAGGCTGCAGAGGGCAACTCCGTGGGTCCCTGACGTGGGGGGCGGGGGGGGGAGGGCTTCAGCGTTTTCTGTCTGGGCGCTCGGTGGGCCGCTCAGGGTTTTCTTCGTGACGTGTGCGGGGCCTGGGCCAGTCTCCGTGGGGACGGCTCTGTCATGCTGCCCTGGCTCCCCCGCTGTGACCTCTGCTCCGGGTCCGAGCGTCAGCCTGCTCTCCGGCGCTGCCCCCCCCCCCGTGCTGCGCCCTCTCACAGACCCTTCCGCCTGTCTCAGCACCCTGCCGAGTGGTTTGCCCACGCCACTCTGCCAGTGCACCTCCGCGTGTGTCCCTTTGGGTCCCACTGCCCGCCACGCAGACTCTGTCCCTCTGTCCCAGCTGCAGTTTTCTTTCTTTAAAACAAATATTTTATTTATTTATTTTTAGAGAGAGGGGAAGGGAGGGAGAAAGAGAGGGGGAGAAACATCCATGTGTGGTTGCCTCTCAGGCGCCCCCCACTGGGGACCTGGCCTGCTACCCAAGCATGTGCCCCGACTGGGAATCGAACCGGCCGGCGATCAGTCCACTGAGCCACACCAGCCAGGGCCTGGCTGTGGTTTTCTGATCATCCTCGATCCCTCCGTCCTGCGTGGCCTCCCTGGTGTCCCAGGGCATCTGAAGATCACAACGTCTTGGCCCTCGAGGCCGCCTCTGTCTCTTGGAGGCCATGGTTTCTCTGACCTGCTGAGAAGGCTGAACAGTTTTCCGAATTTACCTTCTGGTTCCTGCGGGTCCTCCTCCCCCGAGGCTGCTCTGGCTCTGAGTCTCATCAATAACGCCTTCGCCTGCAACTCCCAGCACCTGGCTCCGGTGACTGCCTTTCCCACCGCTCCTCCTCGGGCGGCCGCCCAGCTCGCCCTCCCCTCCCTCCTCGCCACCCCCCACCCCTCCCCATCTGCTCTCCGGGCTCATGGTGGGGACTCAGCAGGTCCCCACGCAGTGGCCGGACTGTAGGTAGCCTGTGTCCCTGAGGAGGAG